GTCCCCTATTTTTGGGGTGCCTTTTTCTCCCCGTGACTTCTCTCTCTTTAGAACTCTCTCTCTCATTCTCTCTATTTATCTCTCTCTCACTTCTCACCTCAAACTCCCTCCGAGAACCACCGAGGCACCATCTACCTCCCCACTCTAACGACCACCACGACAATGCTTCCATCACCTTCCCCGTCGTGCCAGAGCCGATCACCACCTTTTAACAACCACCTATCCTCGAGCTCTTGACAATTTTCCAGCAAGTTCTCGTCGTCCCCGACGAGGTAAGTTCGCAAACCACTTTAAATCTTCATAAATTGTGTTTAGAACTACGATTAGGTAGTTTTTAAGACAATTTGGTAATGTTTAGACGCTGAAACCACTTGGGAGAACCTTCCCTAGTTTTTCGGCGAGGATCACGACTTTTGCAGGCGTTTTCTGGCCAACTCCGGTCACCACTCGGCCTCTTTTTGGTACAAATATATTCTTCTCATTCCTAGCTTCATTTCCATAGGTAGAACATCATTTTTGGTGGACAAATGAGCTTGATTGAAGCTTTCCAAGCTCCGGTTTTCTTCTTCATGGAGTCCGGGCGACCCACGATATGAACTCGGATCAAACTTGACCCGTAACTAAAATCAGGCCCAAATTCGATTTGAAATTTGGTTCAAACTTTTAGGCCATGTAACCCAGTCCAATAACCCAACCCATTTAAGGAGTAACTCAGCTCGACCCATTAACCTTATCTTAGATCCGACCCTGGTCCGACCCAATCCGGACCTAGTTTCAGTTTCCACGGTCGACGAGTGGACCGCGCGTCATGGTTGGCCCGTAGAGCACACACCTTTTGCCGGAGGTATTATGCTTCGCCGCCGTCCACGGCAACACTGACAAATTTTTCGGCGACCCAACTAGGTGCGTGGCGGCATGTGCATGGCAGCATGTGCGGTTGCGTGTGGCCTCCCAGGCTGCCGCCCCATGGCAGCGCGTAAGGGAACTCGAGGTCTCTCATTAGGTCTTTTGACGTGCTGAATCTGAATTCGTTGTCCGTTTTTCCAAATTCTATTGTTTTAGTAGAGTTTTATTAAATGGTCTCTATTTGTGTTTAGGTGCATCGGTTGGAAGTGATCTAGTCCTCCTTAGTTTGAGTGGCTCTCTAGTAGCGAAATACTTATGAGTGGACCCCTTCTGAAATTGCATGTTTTTATAAAAGATTAGGCTTGCATGCATTTCATATTTCATGAATTGATTACGTTTTATGATATGATTTACGGATTTTTAGATTTGTGCTTTATGAAGAATTTATGATTTATTAAAAGGAAATTTTAACAAAAAGCTCCAAATAATGTTCACTTTAACGAAAACCCACATTTTTGCACTAAAAAGTCAATTTTGGTACTATTCACTTTACCCTTTATTTTGTCATTATCATTAAAACTCAAAGTTTTCAAGCCATTTTCATTAGTTTTCCTTTATTAAAATTGCTTTTATGCAATATTTTTTATTTATCGAATTTACGTTTTACGAAAGGTTATGAATTATTGGATTTTGGTATATGAAATTCTAGGGATTTACGAATATGATCTATTATGGATTTATGCAATGAGGCTTTTGGGTTTTTGAGCTTCGGTGATTTGATATGAGATTTTGAGATATGTTTTCGGTGCTTATCTAGTGGGTTATCATATAGCACATCCACACAACATGGGTATGTAGACGTCTATGGCCATAGGACACAGTTGAGGATATTTACGCTATACCCCCAACTTCATTGGCAAAACCAGTGTAGGTGTGTGATGTTAGATGTTTCTTCTTTGGCATAACCTAGAGTCATGCATCGTCACCTTCGAGTGATGGGGCCTACCATGTTTTTTCACTGGCGTAACCCAATGTCGTACAGCTTCACCTTCGGTTGATGGACAGGTACCGCCTTTGGGCGACTATGATAACCCTAGTTGAGTACAACATTGATGTGATTTACGAAGGTTTTACGAAATTGCCTTCGGGCGACTATATTACCATTGTTTTGATTTATGGGATTCTTGGGTTTTGCCTTCGGGTGTTTCGATACTACTTTTAGAGATGATTTTATTGCTACGAACATTTTTGGCATGTTAGAGTTTTAAGTAAACCTACTGTGTAGTGTGTATCTATATGTGTGTGTGTGTTTTCAAAACAGGGGGTTTGTCTGTTAAAAAAGAAATCGATTTTTGTATTATTAGTATTATTATAAACTTTGGTCTACTCACCTTTGGTTTTTGTGCCCCCCTCAGGATATAGTGACAAGGAGTACGACCCGAGTATCGAGGCATTTCCCTACCAGTGATCTTGCATTCTTCCACTTATGTATGGCTTCTTTTATGAATAATTGTAACTTGATGTCTTACATTTCTCTAGTACTTCCGTTTTGTGGTATGCTTTGGACATATTTGTATCTCTTTTATTTTGGAATTGTGGCCGTTGAATATTTTGTTTCATCCATGTTTAATTTGGATTGTTATTATTCCCTCTTAGTGTTTGTATACTCCTTGTGATTTTTGTTTGTAGCATGATTTTTGGATTACTTGTTCCCTCATGTTCTTGGACATTCATACATTCATGGCTTTCGTCACTCTCGAGTGGTGGTCAGCACGTGTCATCCAGGTGTCATTTGGATATATGGGTTGGGGCATGTCAAAGTGGGGCTAAATAAAAATAAAAATTGTTTTTTATTATTTAAATATATTTAATCTACATGGAAAATATAAATATAGTTGTGGGACCAATTATGTTCCACATTAGCAGATAACAAAATTGTAGACATAATTGTGGCGAAAGGACCACATTGATCGATTTTCTAAGTGATTTTCAATTTGGGGGACATCTTGATGGAGTGGGTCAATGTCACAGACTTTGTGATAAAACATTTTACATATAGCTGATTTTGACGCACTATAAGGAAAATAGGCTCAAAGTGGGTTCCGTTGTTGAACTCGCGTTCTACAAGATAGAAATTTAAGACATTTTATTAGGGATGACAGTGCTAACTGTTAAACCCGATAACAATGAATAATTGCCCGAATGGAAAGGATTTGGGTATTGAAGTTTGGGTATATTTTGGATATGGGAAAAAATAGTAAATATTATTCGGTTATGATTTTGGATATGGTTATAAAGGTTTCCGATCCCTACCTGTATCCAAATTCGACCCAAATAATAAATAATATATATATATATATATAATATACTTATATAAATTGCTAATATTGTATAATATATATGTCATGCCCCGGACTAGAGTCGACGAAAAAATATGACCTTGCGCCAGGGGTGCGAGTAAAAATAAAAGTAAAAACGGAAAACAAACTTCTCTTTTATAAATAACTCCAAAATCCTTACAGGTGTACAAGATAGTAAAATCCTTAAAATCCCTCGTCTAACACAACGTCAACTCGTCTACCTTTCTTTAATCTTGTACCGAACCTGCAAGGTCTAAAATGTATAGGGTGAGTGAAACCATAGCTCAGTAGGGACATAAATCTTATCAAGGATAATTGTCAAGGCTAAACCAAGTGTCATGCTCACAAAATCGATTATAACATGTTATCATTAATCACAATTTAATTAAATGATGAACCATGAAATGCAACTTAACTTCAATTACCCCAACCCGTTAATTTATATAATAAAACACGCGAACTTGCATGTCCCATACCATGCATTTTACCACTGTAGCGGTGGTATGAATGCTATATAATACAATCCAACCCTCGTAACTTAGTTGTCCCAAATACCCCTTTTTGTTGGTCATCTTGTTTGCATCTCGGTTGCCAAAGTCCCCACTACTTCATACCATTCCTATAATTTCACTTTTGCCACCCTTGCTGGTCCCTACAAGAGTCGAACTCAACCACACAAAAGATAATTCCATTTCCATATCCCAATCTTGAATAAACCAATAAAAACCTTCCACTCCAAATATGCAATGACATATGCATATAATCAACATTATCACGATTAGTAATATGAATATCATATTCCAAAATACACAATTATATCAATTATAGAGATATATCAAGTATAACACATATTTCACAAAACTTAAACAAGACAAATACCCTAGTAGTGATAAGTTCCCCAAGAAACCCCTACCTCGATTCCAAAGCTAAAACGAAGATCCACGTCACTACCATAATAATTAAGCTCTATGTACTTGAGCAAGCTCCTTGATCACTCCTAATGTATTTCTTCCACTCTATTTTCCTTTTTAATCTCTCTCTCTCTCTCTCTCTCTCTCTAAACATATATAATATATATATATATACACACACGTACATACATATATAAACATATACACACCACCTCTACATAATGCATGCATGGCATATTGTGCCTTGAAAAAAAATGATGGAGCATTGCACCTATTTATAGTGTCAAATAGTCGGCAACCCAAAGGCTCTGATTGGTTGAAAATGAAGCTGCTGACCTAAGTCTTTTGTTGGTCCAATCAGAAGAAGATAAGCCACCAATATATATCCTAGTTGTGGCATCAAAGGCTTACTCACTTTAATAAATCAAACACCTGGTACTTTTGCATGCAAATGATAAGCCACCTCCTGCTAATTAATCTTCATACTTCCATGCCATGGGTTTGACAACTACTCACCTTACTTGTCAATTGCTCCAAAATATGCCACGTCCAAAAAATAGTATAGACACCTCTCACTATTAGGTTTAACACGTGAACAACTATGTAAAAGCTTATCTTATAGATTCATTCTAATTAGAAATAAAAATAATATCCACAAATACAACTAAAAAGACGGGACGTTAGGGCTGGGTTCGGTTCAAATCGGTACAGTTCGATTCGGTTCATTTTTTTTTGTTTGGTTGTTTCTGGTATGGTTTCGGTATGGATTCGGTTTTTCTTTTTTTTCTTCTTGAAAAAAAAATTGAAATATGAAATTTTAACATCTCCAACACAATCATAACATCAACATTCCAACTAGAATCAAAGACAATGAAAATAAACATTTAAAGTTCAACTAGAATCATCAATCAAGTCTTCCAAAGTCCCAACTTAAAATAAACATCAAAGTTTAAGCTTTCAAAAAATCCAAATTTAAAATAAACATCACACTTCAAGTCTTCCACACCTAAAATAAACATAACGAAGTCCAAACTGTAAAGAAATATTCCACTTAACTAAAATCATAAAGTCAAATAAACCTTCAAGGTTTCATGTCTTGCACACACTTCTTTTCTTCAAGTCCTCAAGCTCAATGCTTAGGCGGCCTAGGAGGAAACATAGCACATTTCCTTGAACTTCCACTTGCCATTTCTACATACAAATAAAAAAAAAAAGAACACGATGTAATGCAAGTATACAACATAGCATCTAATTAAAATAATCTAACAAAACCAAATGCAATGAGTAAGATTACCTTTCTCAACTTCTTCACAAAACTCAATCTCCACAATGGTTGGCTCATGATGTAATGCAACATGGATAGACATACGCCAATTTTGTGTACATATCAAAACCTCCACCATTTTTGGACTCAAAGAACTACGATATCGATCAATTATTCATCCACTTGTGCTAAATGAGGATTCCCAAGCAATGGTTGATACGGGAATAGCTAAAATCTCTTTTGCAACACGTGCCAAAATAGGATACTTAGAAACCCCATTCACCCTCCACCAATTCAATATATTCATCTTCTTCCCCTTCATTAGAATAAAAAATATATCTATCCACATCATGTGCACAACACTGGCTCTCTTTGCCTCTTTCATGTCACTTTTCTCTTTCAACTTTCTTTCTATTTCGGTCATGCTTGATAAAGAATCTCCACTTGTAGTTGCTGATTGAGAACTACCACCACTACTTGTGCTTTGTTGTGTATCAAAAAACAACTCTTCATGAATCTTGTAAATAACAAATCTTTCACCGCATTGGTGGTAATTTCAACTTTTTCCTTGTCCTCACCAAATAGTATCTCATAATAATCAACCACATTCTCCAATTTATGGCGAGGATCAAGCACAAGTGCAACAACAACATATTGATTCATATCCTCAATTGAACCCCAATATTTGTCATATTTTTCTTGCATCAACATGGAGATTATAGACAAAAATTCACTATCTTTGTTTTCATGGAGGAGACTTTTGATCTTAAACAAATCACCAAAAGTAGTATGAATTGTTGGAGTATTAAAACAACATACTTTTAAAGTGACTTTATAAAAAGGTCTAAAAAAGGATGCAAATATTCATGCCTCACTCCAATCATTCGTCGAAGGTGGCCCATCCCTTATGTTAATGACCATTATCTACTTTTAACCTATCAAAAGTCATCTTGAACTTCAAAGCCGATTCCAACATTAAAAATGTGGAATTCCACCTAGTAGGGACATCCAAAATCACAAGCCCTTTGTTATCTATTCTCACTTTCTCAACACACCTTTTAAAGTTCTCCAACCTTTGAGGGAAAGATCTTACACATCTAACCGCATTACTAATGCTTTGTATAGTGGTATTCAACATCTTTATCCCATCATTCACAACCAAATTAAGGATATGAGCAACAAACCTTATTCAACATCTTTATCCCATCATTCACAACCAAATTAAGGATATGAGTAACAAACCTTATGTGCAAATATTTTTCATCATGTAAAAGTGCATTAGGAATCCTACACCCACTTATTTGGTGCACCAAATCCTTTAAGCCAGAATCATTTGCGGAAACATTGTCAACTGTAATAGTTAACACCTTTTCTATGCCCCACTCCACCAAACACTCCTCCAAAGTTGAGCAATGGATTCTCCTTTATGATTTGGAATGACACAAAAGTTCAAAATCTTTTTATGGAACATCCAATCATCATTAATAAAATAAGCGGTGAGAACTATGTAATTTGTTTGTTGAATAGAAGTCCATGTATTCGTTGTTAGACACACCCTAAATGTCTTCAACTGACTTTTCAATTTCTCATTTTCGGTGTAAAACCAGTCAAGTACATCTTTAGCCATTGTCTTACAACTAGGTACTCTCCACAAAGGGCATGCATGCATGCAAAAATGACGAAAACCATCTCCCTCAACGAAAGAAAAAGGTAACTCGTCTATAATTATCATCTCAACACAAGCCTTAGTAACTTCCACTTGAGAAAAACCTATAGCTTCCAACTTATTTTTTGTGCCGGCAAAGGTTAAGATCCCTTGCCTATTTGCGGAAAATATTTCCTTATTAGGACCATAGCTTCTACATCTTGCTAAGTGATTTCTTATACTAGTTGTTCCATTTTTATCCGTGTCGGCCATAAACAGTTTGTTGCAATACTTGCACACCCCCTTTACTCTATCTCCCTCAACTATCCTATCAAAGTGATCCCAAATTGTAGACCTTTCATGATTTTTTAGTGAATCCAAGAGAGTGTCTTCTTTACTTACTTGATCACTTGAGCCACCTTCTTTTGGAGTTGCATTGGGGGAATTTTTGGATCCACCATGAGTAAGAGGAGTTAGTTAAGGTGCCACCATGGAGAGTTAAGGTGGAGTTAATTCACCAACAATGTCCTTCTAAAATAAGAGAGAGAATCATTACAATTAATTATTAAATAAATTGAGACATAAGAACCATAGAGAACGTATAGAGATGACAACTTACTTGCGATGGAGTATAAGTAGATGAGTTTAGTTTTTTACATGAGCTATTTGATGATTCTAATCTCATTGAGTTGGAGCTTGAGCTCGAGGTCTGTGATGCATTTGACTTCATCTAATTAAGATACAAAACATATAATAAGATTCAATTAAGGAATAAAAAAAAATCACAATTCATAAATCTTTCCCATACACCAATTACATAACATAAAACTGTACATGACAATATGACATCTACTAACACAAATAATAAGACCAAGAATATGTCACTGATCAAGAAAATGTCCCTAAAAGTTATGTTTCATAATCAAACCTACAAATGTACTTTTAACCAAATATGTAAAAGTTATTTGAGCAAAATTGATTGTAACAAGCATTCTTTTGATAGAAAAGTGATATTATGGACGGGGGAAGCAACATAAAAGGATAGAAAAATCCACACTTTGATAAATTTCAATTAAATGAGCTACTAATCCATCTAGACGCAACCAATAGATCATCAAACAAATATGCCACTTGAGCCCTCATATCTCGACACTATAAACAACCAATCATTATCTGTCAAACACATCCTCAGTATATTATACTTATAGCATCATTCATGCATCTTAGATCATAACTTCAACCAAAACCTCTTGAATACATAAAATTCAAACTTTCATTAAATTGCTTATTGTGTGACTATGCCTTGAAATGTTGTCATGGCTGGGTTTAGACCACAAACCCCAATCACGATAAACCTACTATGCACAACCCATTCCTCACCCATCATCCTAAACACCCCCAAAGTCTCTCAAGCCACCCAATCTGCATAAACCCATTAACCATCGGCAAACTGCATGAATCTTCCTCCTAACCCAAATTTCACCACCAACCCATGAATCTTCCTCAACTCCAGAACCCCACTGCAACCCCTAATCACACACAGAAATGTAAACTTATCCGGCACAACACTGTCAAACCGTATTCTTCCATAAAACTCAAACTCATCTCTGCCCAACACATTTGCTATAAACCCAGCAATGACAACATTGTAAGCAAACACATTGTAGTCAAGAGACTGATAATTGAAAGTCGAAACGGCAATGACAACATTTCAATCAAATTCTTCTAATTGACAACAATAGTAAGCATTACTATCATAGGAACAACAAAAACCACTGAAAATAAAAGAAAATCGCAAAACCCAAGAAATTGAAAAGCTGCATAACCCATGAAATTGAAAATAAAATATGCAAAACCCATGAAATTGAAAAGAAAATATGTAGAACATGAGACTAACCTTGCAAAGGAAGTTGTGGGTCGAGACTCGAAACGGCGAGAGGAAGTCGCGAGTCACTGGTCACGGGGGTGAGAGACTGAGAGTGAGATGGTGACACTTACAAATCTGCAAGATGTGAGACTGACTGACAGAGAATGAGACGGGTTGCAAATCGCTGGAAGGAAGAAGATGAAGACTAACTGAGTTGAGAAAGGGTGCGAAGAGCGACGAAGGTTGGGAACTGGGAAGGAGAAGGTCCAGAAGGTAGAGGCTATATAGGGATCGATGTTTAGGGTTACCAATACAAACGCAAGTCTTTCAGACTGAAAGAAGAACAAACGACGCCGTTTCTAGTAATAAAAGCATTCAATTATAATTAATTATAAAACGACGTCGTTTTGACAACACTTCGATTCGGTTTAGTTTCCGAACCCCAGAAACCGAACTGAACCAACCAGAATCGGTTCAATTCGGTTTAATAGTTTTAGTTCTCTTTTTTTTGGCCTCGGTTTGGTTTTTGATCCCTTTTTTTCGGTTTTCGATCTTTCAAACCCACCCCTACGGGACGTTACAAAAAACACACACACACACACACACACATATATATATATATTTGTATATTCATCATAGAACATATTACCTTGAAAATACAAAAGTTGCATTTTGTGAAACAAGTTTTAAAGTTTTAAATCAAAATCAATGAGAATTCAATAGTGCTTATGGGAGATATTTAAGATCAGCCAACATAATCAATGTTTTAAGTTAAATACTTTAATTTTTATACTCAACAAGATCTTTCATTGAATCATTTTATACATCAAATGTTTAATGATGAAATTAATATCTACTAAATTATAATGCGTCAATTGATAATTTTTGTATTGACAAAGATAGATATAACCGTTAACCGATAATATGTTACCTAGTGGGTATGGTTATGGATAATCACCGAAGGTTAATTTGCGGTTATGGATATGGTTAATTTGCGTGGTTATGGAGATGAATATAGCATTTATGTTCCCAAATTGAACCGCTATCATTCCTACATTTTACTTACAACGGAAGAATAATTAGTGTAGGTACTGCATTGGTTTTTTTTTTTTTTGTAACAAACGATATTATCTGCAATAAAGGGATGGAGGAGTAACTGAGTTGGTCATATATACTTTATAACGGTATTTATCAAATATAGCAAAAAATTAACTCTTAAGTTCAAAAATGTCAGTTTTTATAAAAAAAAAAAAAAAGACTTTCCAATATATCCAAATCTCATTTAAGTAGACACAAATACCCACAAATTTAATATCCAATTAACTTAAAAATAAAAACCCTATTAGATGAAGAATTAGAGAAAACCCTAGACTAAAGAAATGGTGGAGATTTGTGCATAGGAGAGTGAAGGTATCAGTTGCTAGTAGGAAACAGTGGAGGCTTGTGCAGCTCTAAACGACGGTGAGTATAAATGGTTCATTTTTTATTTTTTATTTTTTTGCATTGTTCCCCATCTATGTTTTCTCTTTGCTTTTGTAGTTTCTTCTTCAATTGAATATTTATGAAAGAATGTATTGTCAATCTTTGTAATGTTATTTATCTCAATTTTTCTTTGATATGAAGCACTCTCTTTGGAATCTCTAAAGTCTACAATTGTAATTGTTTCATATTGACATATATGCATTTCTTCATATCTTCTATATATGAAAGTAGTTCGTGCATCATAGTTTTGCTTTTTATTGGTCCTTGTTAGTGCAATTATTTATTTCTATAATTACTTGTTTGTGCAAAGGTTCATGTCCCCTGCTAATATTGTACATAATAAACCTCCAATCTCGGGATTGTCCTTATTGCTGAGAATTTGAATGATGTAGATCATTATTTTTTAGTAAAATACATGAAAACAAAGAAATTTAAGTTTTGGCTGTAACTTGACTAGGAAATGGATTTTGTAGTTTCTCCTTCGGTTGAATATTTATTAATGTTGATGATTTTCATTTCATATTATGTATTTTCATTATTTTACTAGGAACTCTTTGATCATTGCGTATGTAGAAGTTATATGGCTAGTTGGTGATCAAACCAATTGGATAGTAAATAATGATGTGCGTGAAAGAATTGTCCTACCACCAATTACACGAAGAAGATATGGTAGACTCAAAGAAAAAAGAATCCCGTCATTTGGAGAAAACAAAATCAGCTCGGAAATGTTCAAAATGTAACTCAAATGGCAATTGTAAACAAACTTGTAGAAATCCTGTTCCAGTTCATCCTATTTTGTAGAACTCTTTTTAAATTGGGGTGTGATGAATAAATATTTTCTTTTGATCATTTTATTGTTTATTTTGGTTGTACGTACAATCCTTTAAATTTCAAACAATTAAAAGTTAATTACTTTTATTTCTTGATGAATCACCATTTAGGAGGATACTAGGCCTTGGTTCTCTTTCCTGGGCGGGGCATCAAGTACATGTGTATTTACCATCGTTATTGGCGAGGTGGTGGGCTAGAAAGCCCAAAACAGGCCTGGGCGCGGATACCCAAACCCTAGCACAACTCCCTCCTATATAGCTGCAGCATCCGACCCACCTCTTTCAGATCGTCACAACAAAAATGCAGCTCTGTACAGCCGCTCCCCAAGCTGTCTCCAACCTCCCTAACCGCGGCCACCGCCGCCACAACCGCCATCTCATCACAGACTCCACCACCAACCTCAGCTCGAAACCCTCACTCCTTCACAGACAAATCCCATGCTCACTCAAATCTCTCCGGCTTCACTCTCGTAAGTTCTCCATCCCTTAACGTTTGGTATCCAATCCCAACAAACACCATTAATTTTTATGCCCAATTCACCCTCTGTTTTCATTTCTCAGCTAGGGTTTAGAGTTTTGGCTCATTTTTTTTTTTATAATTTATATTTCCTTCTTGTTTTTTTTTTTGTCGCTGCTTAAATTTCAAATGTATTGATTATTCGTTTATTCAACTTTACTGCTTTCGAATTTGGAAGTTCTTTCAATTGGGGGTTATTTTTTTTTCAAATTTTTTTTGTCCATATTGGGGTTTTTGGAAATTATTCGTTTTGGTTTGATATAGAGACAGTGACTGTGGCTACTTGCTTATGGGAGCATTATCTTTGTGTTTTTCTTGCAGGATTGCTTTTGGCGAGAGCAGCAACATCAGAAGAAACTCCAAGTGGGCCCAATCCTTATGCTGCCGAAGAGCGCGGCGGTGGCGGCGTATCCTTGGAGGATGTTGTGCCCCCTGAAAAGAATCTGTACAATCAAACTTGGACTGAAGAAGAAGTTAAAGAAGATGCAAATGCGGACGCGGGTGGCCAAATGCAGATATTCGATTATTTCAGTAACCTCGACTTAAAGGTTTGTGATTTTCTGTAGATGTGAATGGACATATATCAAAGTAGAATTAGTACATGCATTTCAATGTCTGTATGAGCCATTGGTTGGATGCAAAACCTGCTCTGTTTATACCGGTAAATACATAGAGGTTTGTACCCATGTTAGGATTTATCCAACTTAATAACTTGTTTTTGTTTGGTTTGATTTTCTCAAAATTAATTTTGTGGAATTGAAAAACTTGGTTGCGATGATGATTCAGTAACTACTTGAGAGTGTCTAACAGTACTCGATGGAAATCCGACAATTATGTCGATCTGAGCGGTTACCTGAGCGACTTAGTATTTAAAATTGGTGGTTTGGTGAGGGATTTCACGAGTGTTTACCTCAGCAAGAAATGTTCCTCAGTACCTCTTCATCATTGAAAACAGCATTTCCATCGTTTTTGTTATTTTCCCCATATGAAATTTGAGAAGTATACTAAAAGGTTGGTTTTTGATACTGACCTTTCTTGTCAAACATTGAATTGGATTTCAGAATCAAGGATGTGCTTGCTTGTATTTGTTTTCTTTAAAATGATTGTTTTACCTTTTTATTTAATTTTCTTGTAACCTGAATATTATGGTAATATGGTTCAATGGATCCCTAGTATCGTTATATGTTAGTAAGGAAAAACTAACTTGCTTTAATCGTGGTAGCCTTTTCTCTGTTTTACTGTTCTACTAATTTCAGGTTTGAGTTTTGCCCTATTTATATGAGTTTTTTATTCTATTCAAAATTACAACTCTTTGGTGTTAATTGTATGTGATCTTCGGTTGCGATGATGATTCAGTAACTAGTTTAGAGTATCTAAGAATGCTCAATGGAACTTTGACAATCATGTCGATTCTGAGCGGTTACCTGAGCAACTTGGCATGTTGATTTGGTTCAGTACTCAAAGTTGGTCTCTTTGTTGTCTCGACTGCCTTTCTTTGATGGTTTAGTACTCAAATTTGGTTGCGATGATGATTCAGTACTAGTTTAGAGTGTCTAAGAATGCTCAATGGAACTTCGACAATCATGTTGATTCTGAGCGGTTACCTGAGCAACTCGATATTTGATTTGGTAGAAGTATTTCGTTTCATTTGTTTTGTCTTTGGTTGGTCTATAATTGTAAAAAAGTAGCAGCTTACGATGAACATAAATTAGTGTTAATATTCACAGTAAGGAATTTGATTTTACTAGTTATAATATTGTACCACGCATGTATTATGTATATACTGCTGGTAGAATCATGTTTCTAAATACAACTACAAATACCCTATAAATAAAAACGATTTACTTCCGACCAAAAGAAAATAAAAAAGCTGTACTGATGGCTTGCTCTTTTGACTAATTGCAGTTGGATAGTGATGATACGTACAACCTTTTGCTATATGGTGGTGGTGCCTTGTTTGCCTTGTGGTTAGCATCAGCTGTCGTTGGAGCTATTGATTCTATTCCGTTGGTATGTCACAAAACATACTTTCCATGTGAATTTCTTGACTTACAACCGTGAATTAATGCCCTTTTTCTGGGTATTGATGTTGCTTGCCATATCAATCAGTTCCCGAAGTTGCTGGAAGTAGTCGGTCTTGGATACACCGTCTGGTTTAGCTCTCGTTATCTGATATTCAAGGTAATTATAAACTTTTAGCTTCAAATGTCACCATATTAGCTAGTCAGACATGTTAAAATCAAGGTTCTAAAAGACGCTAGGCACTAGTTGAGCGGTGAGCTGGGGCCTAGCGGCTTGGCGGGGTCTAGGTGGGTGCCTATGCGGACTAGGCATATTTAAATAGATCTATTATATTTCGTGTAAATAAGTGTCTGTTTATATTTGAAATATATATAATTTAATTATAAACTACAAAATAGAATGACATATATATTAGGAACTATTGGAACATAATGAAAACATGGGAACATACATATAATGTGTATTCATTTAAGTATTCAACAAGTTCCTTACAATTTATTGAAAAAAAAAAAATGCAAAATGAAAGTTATCTATTTTCTGCCTAAGTTTGTCGCAACCTAATTGGGTGCCTAGGTGGGTTTGGGCGGTCTAGGCACCATTTCTTAATTTTCAAACGCCTAGGCATTAATCGGAACGGTGCCCAACCACCTAGGCGGCGCTAGGCGGAGATTTTTAGAACATTGGTTAAAATATATACATAATGTTGATTATTGTTGTGCAGAAAAACAGAGATGAGTTGGTTGCTAAAGTTCAAGTCCTTAAACAGCAGGTTCTGGGTTCGGACGATGACTGATATGGAGGACTTGTTACGTTGTGCAGATTGTTGCTGCATAAAACCATGAATGTAGAGTTTTAAGGAAAAATATATAGGGATTTCTTTTAGCCAATATTAGGAATAGTCCACTTTATTAATATAAGTCAAATCTCTTAAGTTAGGATCATTTTATTATAAGATAAGGTTTACAGTGAAAATTAAATTTCTTCTTAATTATCTCTTTGATTATTTCTTCATATATATATATATATATGTTCTTTTTGTTTTTCGTGTTCTTCATCTTCCTGCTTTAAGCCTCATTTATGGATTTTATTTTTATAATCATCTTATATTAAAAGTTTGTTCAAAAAAAAAAAAAATCATCTTATATTAAAAGTTCATTTTATTTATCAACTGACATGACAAATTTTTTTTTTATGATCAACTTGAATCACATATTAATGTGTTTTGTTTGTAGGTATATTATGTTTTTGTATGTTCTAATTAGGTTTCGTAACTCGCGTATATGTATTATACATTTATATATTTGTTACTTGAGTTAGGATCATATGTTCTGCCAATGAATTTATGTTAGTACATTAGTTTTTTATTATAAGATGCTAAAAATTTGAAAATGCATGAAACTAGATGAGTTTAATTTATTTCCAAAATTATTAGAAAATGTCAAATAAGTATAAAAGAAATAAAACACGTTGATTTTTTTTACCCAAATCTAAATGCTCCGATCCGACATGTTTTTCTGCTCCCTTCTGGTTGTGCAAGTGCAACTGTGGCCTAAGCTTTTATATATTTGTAGTTTTTACGACTAAACAAAACGTGCAAGGAAGAGAATGTCCCGACTTTCCATGCTCAATTGCTCATCGTCAACCATGTTGTCCTAGCCAATGTCGTAACCCTTGAGCTTTGAATTTCTCTAGCAATTTTGTATATCAGTTATCCTTGCAAGCAGTCTTAAGGAGGTTGATCATTTTGCAACTGGCGGAATTGTTCTGGTGGATAGAGTTTTCTTTTTCAACCCAATGCGTCTTGGATTCAAACTCTTTTTTTTTATTTATTTTTTATTTCCATAGTTAAGATGAATTTAGTATAGATTATACATCTTTTGTCAAACCGGAGGTTGATCATTTCTTAAACCGATAAATGAATCATCTCCAATACACAAGTATAAAATTGTTAATCCTATTGCCCAAGTAAAATTTTTTGGATAACTCAGTGGTACTTTTCAACTAAATGCGTCTCGGGTTCAAACTCTTGAATTTAGTACAAATTATACATTTTTTTTGTCAAAAAGGAGGTTGATCTTTTCTTAAACCGATTAATGAATCGCCTCCAATACACAAGGATAAAATTCTTAATTCTATTGCCTAGACTTGACATTTTCAACCCGACCCATCCCAACCTGTTAAAATTAGTATTCGGGCGAGTGATAAACGGATCGGATGGTTAATGGTCAATCCGTTAATCACTCGTTAAATAACATATCATTTTGGATGAACCCGCGAAATCTGTTAACCATCGGTTATTGAGAACTTTTGTGTAATTTCAATCCGTTCCTTTTTTTTTTCCCCTCTCTCCCTCACTCTCGTTTCTGTTTTATCAGTGTCATATCAAGATGAGAGTGATGTTCGATGTTGCTGAAGTTGGTGATCTCTCTTCATCTCTCTGTGAGACTACTTGTGTTAATGTTGCATCGATGATCGATATAATCCCGACAGTCTAGCGACTTAGACGACGCCCTAAATTGGTACTCCCAGTAGATGATGGTGAAGTGTCGACAGAAGATGCGGCTCGTATTGCAATGTTAATGTCGAGGTTTGTGGCAACCATAATTTAGGCAAAGAAGGTGACCGAATGTAATAATACGAACGGGTGACCCGTTATTGCCTAATATATTTGAATATGTGCTTTGGAATATTGCCTAATGTAAAAAATAAAAAATAAATTGTTAACGGGTGACCCGTACGATTTGAGTTTGGATGACCCGTTAAATTAACAGGTCGGGTTGAATTTGACCCAAGTTCAATAAACTCAACCCCATTTACAGGGTACGTACAATTTAAGGAAAATTGTCAAGTAAGAAATAATTAAGGTTCTAAAGCTATAGACTAAAGTCTGAATGTTAATACAAACTAAAAGTCGCTTCTCGAAATTTCATTCCCTTTCTTTTTTCGAGTGCCAAACTCTCAATTACCCAACAACAATGGGAAGGAAAGAGCTTAACCTATTTTTCTCTTATTTCCCTACCCTTTTTACCATCCCAAACTAGGTATGATATTATCGAAATCTCTCTCAAAAGGTCCGAAAAATAGAATTGTAAAGGGGGTGGAGCAATATCTTTGTAGGATTTCTCCAAAAATTTGGAGATATCTTAATGATATCGATATTTTGGTGAAACAATATTCTTGTAAGATTTCTCCAAAAACTTAGAGATATCTTAGCGATATCAATAATTTTGGTAAAACAACGACATATCGTTGCAAGATCTTTTGGTGAATGTTGTTGAAAATTCTATCTTAAGGTTCCTTTTAGTTTCTAGTTATTATCTCATAATTGTAATTTGAAATTGGAATGCAGCACAAATAGTTGTTGCGGCTGCCATGTCTCTGTATTTTTTTTGTCATTAAATTTCATGTGATTTAATAAAGCATAAACAACGAAAGATGACAGACAAAATGCATTTTAGTGTAGTGTTGTGCTTCCCCGATTTTATAAAGTTTAGACAGTAGACGATCCATAAATTTCATGTTTTATAGCAATTTTTCGTCTTTTTTTATCATCATTTTCATATTGAATTATTAATTTTCTTTAAATCTGGCCTTACTGATGTGTCTATCGAATCAAATCCTAAATCTGATCTCAAAGTACCACTTTTTTTTCCCTTCTTTCTGTAAACTTGTTTTTTATTTTATTTTTATTTTTAGAAAAAAAAAACGATATTATCTACGTTAAAGGGGAGGGGGTAGACTTAGCCTCACAATGGGCTTGCAATAATATGACTCAAATTCGCCTTTGGCGACAATTGAACCTAAGATCTCTCACTTACAAGTGAAGAAGAATATCACTAAACTGTAGTACTAAGTAGCAAAAGAACAACCAGAAGCCACTCTTTTCTTTCTGTAAACTTGAAATTGAGTAAAGTCATAAGTCCCAATTAATGAGGCAAGATTTTGAATTTCATGATTTTCACAAACAATTCATGTGAAATACGTAATCACATACCTTGGTAATTAGCTGTTAAATGTCATGTACAAACCTCTATCTTGAGCAATTTGTAGACGAGTTGTACATATTTTTCATTAATATACACATTAGATGAGTATATGCATTATTATAGGCTGAGAGGACCCGTTTCCTAATGAAGCCCATAATTAATTACCACCCATCACATTAATAAAATAGAAAACAAGTTCTCATAATTTGACCAATAAGGTTTGCTTTCAAAACAATAGTCATTAAACAGAATATATCACACATAAACCATGTCAATTGGGTCACACTAGAATATTGAAGTTATTCTTACATTCTTCCACTTGGACCATATGACACATATGCCTAATGGTTTAATAAATAAACATTAGCACTCATTCATTTGAAAAGACCCTCTGTTGTACTTTTATGTGCAAGCAAAAGTGAATACTAACAAAGTACCAAATATCAACATCGTAGGCGAAAACGTAGAAACAAAAATCTCGAAATAAGAATATAAGAGATTAATTCATCGCAAAGTCTACCTATACGGGCTTTGCCCGTAGCTGAATTTCAACAAACAAACTGATATTACAAACAAGTTTAACTCTCTCAACCCAAATCTCACACACTATAAACCCTAAACCAAACAAGTAAAGAGCTAGAACAAATGGAGGATACTATCCCAAATTGCTCTCTAACACACAAACTCATAAATCGACTCTCACCAAATTGCCAAACAAATGAGCCATGAATTTGTCAAACTCATGACGGTGACCTTCACCCAAAACCCAAAAGATAAAACTCTCTAAACCATGGTGAGGGACACTAAATAAACTAATCTTAAGGTCCTATTTATAGTGCATATGACTTAGGTTATAATAAGAATCCCAATCTTAATTGGAAGTATATTCAAATCCTGATCAAATAGGTAATAACAATATTTCTCCACCTAGCAAGGAATCCAACCAAGAAGTCAAATCCAAACCCAAATAGGACACAATTCTGCATTATCTTAATTTTTAGCTGCAAAACACAGCACCCTTAGTATTAAATGATCAACATAAATATTGATTTTATGTATTTAATAATGAGAGTCATGGAGGTTTTAAATCTATATGCGACATAATCCCTTCCATCCATATACCACAACACTAATAAATCACTCAAAAGGTCAATTAGTGAGAAGTAAATACAAGGCGTGTGCTATCTTGTAACGACCCAAAAATTATTCGGAAGCTAATCACTAGGTCAAAATAAAGTCGTGGTTAACCTTTACGATATAAACCATAATAAATTTCCTTACTTGACAATTATTCAGAAAATTTATTTAAGTTATTTTATGGCTGCATCTAACCTCTTTGTTAGACTACCTACGTACCCTCAAACGGGATCAAGCCATTCGTAGTTCACCGTCATAATTAAGCCGTTTACTAATAATATTGGTGTGGTGGGTATATTCAATACTAGATTCAAACAATCAAATCACACCAAAAGAGTATCAAATATGAAATAATAATATCGAAATTAGCTTAAAAATGCCAAGTCAGCCAATTGGCCATGTGTCTCCGCTGCAGGTGGAGGCTTCCGGCGAATGGAAACCAAATTTTTCCGACTAACTTCAAAAATTATTAAAATTTTACAGGATTGTAGAACACAACAAGGAGAAGAACTTTCATACATGGCCTAAAGTCCAATTCAGCTGGGAAGTACCTCAAATTACCCTCGATCCATCGGGAACCCTAGAACGAACTCTGATGCTTCAACCACTGCTTGGGCTTTGCTCCTGAGGTTGAGGGGAGTCTACTGGTGGTGGTGGTCTACTTAATTGGCTTCAGGAATGATGGATTGCTGTAGTGGAGTCATCGTACCCACCGGTGCTGTTCTTCGTGAAATAGGAGCCAAACCTCGTCGGGTTGGGTGGAAATAGAAGATGAAGGGATGTGTAGTTGTTTCCAAGTGGTGGCTTGCCTTGATTCGCTGAAGAAATGCCAAAAAAGCCATCAAATTTCTTGCCCAGAAACCGAGTCTGCAATCGGGTCAGAAACCAGGTCGCGTGGGATCCCTGGTTGGCTGGTTCCACCTTCTCATTCCTTTCCCTTATTTCTTTTCTCCTCGATTCCCAGTCCCCCCCCCCTCATTTCTCTATTTTCTTCTCCCCCCCCCAAATCACAGCCACCCACGTGACTTATCTCCCACGGGAAGGTTCTCCAACTTTCTTGGAGCCTTCCAGGTTGTAAAGTCTAAATTTATTTGCTTGGTTTTCCTTGTTAAAGTTGTAAATGATACCACACATGCTCTTAGATAGTCTTTGAATATTCAACTCTTTTATGAGTTTATCTTGCTGGATTTTGCATCCAAAGGCATTGGTTGAGGAAAATTATCATCATAAAAGGTTTGTTCATGCATGTGCATTTCATATCTCTATTTGTGTTGCATTCTGTCTAGTTTGATTGTATAGTCAGTTTTGCGCGCTGACTTCCAGCTGTTTGGGCACATAAATTAAGACATCCCACATGGACTGACTAACACCTTTTTGCTGGTGGTCTGTTTCTGACCATTGATCTGCTCAGATTGTCTGCTGGGTTGACAAGTGGTTTTTGTTCTTGTTGGATGTGCAAAAATCATATTTGTCTATATAACCTTAGTTAGGGTTTTCATCCTTTTTTGTTGAGATAGATTAACTTTAGAGAGAGACATAGTTTTTCATCTCTATCCCAAATCCCCTAGAAGCATCAAATATTTTTTTGGGTAATGTTTTTCTTTGAATATTTATGAATCTATCTCTGAAAATGCTTGTTCAAATCTTCTTATATGCTCATTTGTTTTGGCTAGGAGTTTTACATTTTCAGAAAAAAGATGATTTTAGCTTTGAGCTACCTCTTGTGTTCTTCATTGAAACCCTAGCCACAAAAGCATGTTCATGTGTCAAACACCCAATCACTGCATATTAGGGTACCTTGTCTTCATGGTTTTGTTTTAATTTTGTGGTCAATTTCTTCAAGTTTCAAATCTTTAAACTGACCTGTTTTGGATTCTCATCAATTTCTTCCTTGAAGTATTTGTCTAGAAGCTGACTGGTCATTAAATCCAGATTTTTCATAACCATCATTATCATATCATTTGCATTGGTTGTGTTGGTTCTCGATGCCATAAGGTGATAAGCTCAGAAGGAGCTGCCACTTCGTGAAGACTGAAGGAGTTCATCTCGTGTAAGGCAAGGTTGCACAAAGGTGCTTCATAGATAGGGATCTAGGAATTAAGCTTGTGTGATCTTTGTATGAACCTTGTTTACACTAGTAGTTTGGACTCAATGGAGAGTCTCCGGTTTTTTAACCCAGAGGTGGGTTTTTCCGGCCAAAAACTTCTTGTGCTCCTTGTCTCTTAAACTTGCTTGCATATGTTTCATGCATCCTATGAGTTGTTTTTTGATATGTGTTAGCTACCAAGTTTACAGTCCATATTATGAGCAATGAACTGAATTGTTGTTGGCTAGGATAACTTGTAGTGAACTAAGTTTGATTCGTAAATTTACATTTGATTAATTGACGAATCTGTACTTAGTTGACTGGTCAGCTTGACTAGTCAATCCAGCATACTTTGTTTCATAATTGCTTTGTCATTGCTGTTTGTATAATGAACTGGTATGTAAATGTGTTCAAGTTTAGGAATTATTTTTGTGAAACTAATCTGGGCAGACTCTGATTAGTTGGACAGAATGGTCAATTAGGATTTGTTATTGCAATTACTCTTTATATCACTGACTAACTAGTAAC